GTGTGTGTGTGTGTGTGTGTGTGTGTGTGTGCATATATGTGTGTACACACACACACACACACACACACACACACACACAGACGCACAGACAATAGGGATATCTTTGGGAAGGAGATCTACTGAAGGAGATAGGGGTGGGAGGGAAGGACAATGGGAATAAAAACAATTAAGATGTTAAATACATGTATCTCCCCCCTAAGATAAATGTAAACATGTACTAATTTTAAAAATTTTGGCCGGAGATTTGGCTTAGTGGTTCTGCCACCCACCTCGCAAGCACAAGGACCCAAGTTCGATCCCTGGTACCAAAAAAATAAAAAAAATAAAATTTTTTTTTAAAGAAACAAAAAGGTGGGTTTTTGAGTCAGACAGTGGGGAAGACAGGCAGTGGGGCTGATGTAAGAAGAGATTTTGGGCTCTACTGCTTTTATTTCTTTTTTTTAAAACTGAAGAAAAAAACATCAAGTGCAGTCTATAGTTGTGAAATCCAATGCTCATGAAGGATCTCTCCTATGTTTTCATTGGTCTCTAACTTGGTTTGCTGTTGTACATATTATCAAGTGGAAAAGTTGCTCTTTGTGATGCAGTCTTCTTCAGTCAGCAATACATCTCTTGGTTCCAGCAGTATGTAGGACCTGAGAGATCAAGAGAGAAATCAAAGAAGAGTCTTGGTCAGGTCTTGTTGACAGGTGGCCCTGGAGGTGCTGTTCAGTGGTGAGAGAGATCAGAGGTCACCTGAGGTCCTGTGGGATAAAGCGCTGAAGAGCTGGCTGGGTCTCAGTCTTCCTGAAAGGGTAATGACATCCACAGGGTAGAACTTTACAGTCCTCCTGAACTTGCAGTCTTGCCTCTGGTATGGTACACAGCCCTAGGCTGCCCCACCAGCAGCTGGCGATATCAGCCGCTGTCTTGATCCTCTCTGTGGTGAGCAGTTAGGGCTTTTCACACCTCTCAGGGAGGGGTGATCTTAGTATCACTGTTGCACATTCAGAAACAGACTGCTGCAGGAAGGAGAGGATGATTTGCAAAGAAACACATACTCTTGTAACTGTGTATTCCAAAGAGAGAAGAGTGAGTCAGCAATGGGGAAGGGTCAACAGAGACATCAGAGGTTGTTCTCATCCAATACTACAGCAAGCACTGAGAGAGAAATATGGCTTTTAGGAAAAGTCACACAAGTCTACCTGACAACTCTTGTCCTACAGCACAGGCATCCTTTCATAGACACACAGTGGAAAGGAGCATAGGTTTCCATCTTGAGGACTCAACAGAATGACGGGCTACTGGGTCACCTTGAACAGATGGGAATAGGATTTCTCAAGGCCTGGGAGAAGCGTTATTACAAAGTAGATCAAAAAAGAACAGAGGGCTGGGGATTTAGGTCAGTGGTTCTGCTGACTACCTTGCAGGTGCAAGGACCAGAGTTCAATACCCAGTACAAGAAAAAAAACAAAACAAAACAAAACAGAAAAACTGGTCATTCAGATGAAATGAGAATAGAGCTGGCAGAGTTTAAGCACAGACCAACTTCTTTTCTTTAGGTCCTTGAAGTTGTCTCCATATCTAGTCACATTGTAAAGCATTTCCAGGTATATTCTCAATATTTAGACCATACAATCTCTACAGTGAAAAGAAATTACAGTGGGCTTTACTATCCTCTCCCACTTTGTATATTTCCCTACCTAATATGCTCCTTTGGGAAAAACTATTCTTTAGTACTTTAGGGCAGTGTTCAAAGTAGCATAACAATGTATACAGGGACATCTCCTGAGTTTCTGTTTTGAATTCTTGCCATATAACTTCTTCAAAGGACTAAGACTAAGGACTTATTTGGGGGTTTTATTTAATGAAAATAACTGACCCAAAGCAATACTTTGAATATACAGTCAGTATTTGATTTAAGAACTCAATTCATAGGGCCGAGGACTTAGCTCAGTGGTTCTGCCGCCTGCAATTCATACTTATGGCTGGTTGTAACTCAAGTTGATTGTAAGTCAAGACTATTTTTCCCATAAGAAATAATGGAAATACCCATAATGCATTCCAAACTTCCCAAAGCACCCCTTAACTGACATTTTCATAATTTACCAGAAACACAAATAATTTTCCTACTCACTAAAAAGTTAAAGTGTGCCTAGTTTACCAGAAACCATAATTTCACATTGTACTCAGCATTCAAGTTGATATCTTTGGCCTGCAGAAGGGAGGATGAAATGGAAGGGGACTACTGTTTGGAAAGAGAGTCCTCTTCCATAAGAACATCATGAATCTGGCTCTGTCCTTTCTTTCCTTGGAAGAATCTGTAGCCCACTAGGACCTGCATCGGGCTCACCAGGTCTCAAACTTTTCAAAACTAAAAACTGGTCTAAAGTTGTTTGTTTCTGTTTTTTCTTTAACATGGTTGTTTTTTGTTTGTTTTGTTTTTTTGATACAGGGTCTCACTATGTAGTTGAGACTGACCGGGAACTCACTATGTAGCCCAGGCTGGTCTTGAACTCACAGCAATCCTCCTGTCTCAGCCTCCCCAGTGCTGGGATTACAGGTGTGCACCACCACGCCCGGCTTTTAACATGGTTCTGTAGTATGACATGATATTGTCATTAAGCAAGTGAATGCAACTGGCTTTTTCTGATTGGGTGGGTCTTCTCTACAAATGTTTGTAGCTCTGTCATTTTTTCAGGATTTCCTTATTTCAGAAGAACTTTGCTGCACTGATTGTTGATACTCCCTCTCTTCATCTCAGCCTCCAGAGTGCTGGGATTACAGGTGTGCACCACCACGCCCGGCTTTTAACATGGTTCTGTAGTATGACATGATATTGTCATTAAGCAAGTGAATGCAACTGGCTTTTTCTGATTGGGTGGGTCTTCTCTACAAATGTTTGTAGCTCTGTCATTTTTTCAGGATTTCCTTATTTCAGAAGAACTTTGCTGCACTGATTGTTGATACTCCCTCTCTTCTTCAGAAAGCTCCTCAGCGGCCATTCTCTCTTGCTCAGCCAGAAGTTGCCTAAGTTCCTCTGTAGACAATTCCTCTGAGTGTTCCTCCACCAGTTCCTCAGCATCACCACTGACCACTGACTACCTGCAAGCCTATGGACTCTGCTATAGTGACAGTGTCATCAACCACAGGGTCAACTAAAGCTTCAGGCTCCTCTACACAGCCTTCAAAGTCTCTCTCCTGTATATATATTTTCCTCTCTTCCTGGGTAATGTAAGTTCTCCTGGGCATTTTCTTCCAGAAAAGGCCAGTTTCATGACAGCTGAAAACTTGATGGGAGCAAAAGCCATTTCTCTGTGTCATCATTTGGAAGCATATGTCATTTTCAGCACCCTTTTATCAGCACTGGCTGCTTCACCATGCATAGAACGGTATGAACCCCAGTTCTCGCTTTAAAATTGTGAAACCACCCCTTACTGAACCGAAATGTTTCACCACTACCACTTGTTGTTGAGCTATCCTTTATGAGATCTGCATTTACAGCCTTAGCTTTTTCACAAATTAGACTCAGTTAGGCTGTAACCTGCCTTCTGCTTTTCGTTTATCCACACTAATAATAGTCTTTCTACTTCATCTAACACTGTTGATCATGACTTACTAATTTGAGTAATTCCTTTAGCAACACTAGCTTCTTTACACAAATCTTTTCTCTTTAGGATTGTCAAGATAGTAGATTTTGACATGCTACACATATTAGCAAGATTGGTCACACGAATGCCACTCTCATATTTCTCCACAATTTCCTTCTTTTCAATCATGATTGCTTTCTTTATCTTTCTTCCTTCCTTAGCTTCTTTTCTAGCTTTCTGGGGGCCATTTTGATAGCAGTAATTGTAGCAGTTATATAAAGCATTGGTCAAAATCACATCCACAAACACGCACATCTAGGCTCAGATTGACTCTTATGTACACTTATATATGCTTTTTCAGCACTGAGTCTTTGCTTACAACAAGTGGCCAGCATTCGGGCTGTGACTTAAGACTTTGGCTGCAAGTTAAAACTAAAGTTCCGGTCGTAACCCAAGTCATTAATCTGTAAGGAGGGTTGTAACTTGAGGGTCCACTGTGTGCTGCTGTTTTAATCATAGGGTTCTGAAGTTAATATAGTGGAATATAAAATGTAGATTCTATATCTAAAAATAGAGAAGAAAAATACTGAATTCCATTATGGACAAAGAGTAGGAAGTATTGTTTTTTGTACACGGAGTTTCAATGAAATTATTATGTCTTACTTCATTTTGTATTCCAAACAGTGTGTACACGTTTTCAAGTGAGATGCAACAGCTCTCAATCCATCCATGTATGCTGTTCTATATAACTGTTTCTGTGTTACATAAACATAATGGTTGGGAGGGGAATGAAAGTCCCTTGCATGGCTCATGGATACGCAGCCTTTGCTGTGGGGTGACCACAACATTTGTGGCATTTCTGTGTTGATGACTGAGTTCATGACAGACCAATGATCTGCCACACAAATGAAGTGTTACTCAACTGGGAGTTTTGTAAAGACCATCCCAGGACATTTATGTAATATCCTCAGAAGTGTGTTCAATACATTCATCTTAATTAACATTATCTGGGGCTTATGAGCCTGCCTGTGCTACATAGTGAGTTCAAGGCCAGTCTGAACTACACAGTGAGACCCCGCCTCAAAACAAACAAACAAAAACCAACAACAAAATAAACAAATTCAGCCCTGAAATACAATGACAGCCATCAAGATCCATTGTTACCCAGGACCTTAATGTGACACACCCTTATCAAATAAAGTAGCCTGGAACAAGAAAGTCCAAGGAGATGAAGTCTACAGAAACAGATACTTCTGTTTTTTGTTTACATTTATCATATATGCAGTAATATTAAGATTGCAGGGAGGCAACCTACTCCTAATTTTAAAATTATTCAAGCAAAATAGGAATAGTAGAAACCAATACCTCCCATATAATATACAAGGCAAAGATAATGCAATCTCACAGGATTTTTTTTTTTTTTTTTTTTTTTTTTTTGTGGTACTGGGGATCGAACTGGGGTCCTTGCGCTTGTGAGGCAGGCCACCGAACCGCTGAGCTAAATCCCTGGCCCTAGGATTAATTTTTGAAAGGAAGGGATTATGAAAGTTTAGTAAAAGTTCAAGGATTTTCCATCAGAGAGGAGCACTAGGGTATACTCATCTTGGACAGATGCACGCGGTGCAGGATCATAAAGATGACTAGTCCTTACACTTTGTGCAAGAAGGATGTCCTGTATTTTGAGTAGAGGATGAAACCGAAAAATAAGTGCAGTATATTAAGCAACAGGGTTGTGGGTCCTGGATTTATAGTGATATGGCAAAACTGCTTTAGTCAGAAAAATTCCTATGATCACTTTGTACAAAACCACCAAATGGTCTAGGGATTTGATCTTCTACATTGAAGGCTTTTATTGTACTCTTTTTACTGAATCAGTTACTGCTGAAATTATGTGAAATACTGACAACATAAAATATTCACCACGGATTATGTCATAAGCAGCTTGTGAGAGACCATGCAGGACAGACATTAACAGGGATAAAAGGCAAAAGGTTAAAAAAAAAAGAAACATCTAGTGAAGGAGAAATTATCTGGTTGGACAGTATTAAGCAATCTAATATATATGTTCTTCCCAGAAAAAGATATCAGAATCATTTTTTTTTTGGTACTGGGAATCGAACTCTGGTCCTTTGCTTTCAAGGCAGGCAGTGGAACCACTGAGCTAAATCCCTGGCCCTATAAGAATCAAATTTATACCAACGATAAAGAGACAAATCTTCTAAGCAGCCTTAGGGAGGAAAAAAAATGCATACCAAATATACAATTAAAATATGAGAATGAGGGCTGACATGTATCTCAGTGGTAAAGCACCTGCCTAGTAGGCGGAAGGCCCTGGGTTCTGAAGGCCCTAGGTTCCATCTCCAGCACTAAGAAAAAGAACATTAAAAAATAAAATAAAATAAAAAATAAAGAAAAGAAAAATAACATTAAGAATGACCATTAACCTCTCAGTGGAAACAATGTATGCCTCCCAAGTGAAAAGAAACACGTCAGATCAAATTTCCTACCAGCAAAAATACCTTCAAGATTAAAACATTTTTCACTTATGTAAAAACCGAAAAACTTGCTGCCAGCAGAACCCTCTTCAAGAAATGGCAAAAGAAGCTCTTTAGACTAAAAGACATTACCCCCCCCCAAATTAAAAGGAACAAAGTAGGCTGGAAATGGTAAAATTAATTTTTGGTAATGGAGATTGAACCCAGGGTCTTCACCCTAAGCTAGATTTCCAGCCCTCCCATTCCAATTCTTAAATTTTGAGACAGGACCTTGTTAATACTGCCCAGGTTAGGCTTATATTCGTAATCTTCCTGCCTCAGCCTTCTAGACTGGGATTAAAGGTGTGCACAAATGTGCTTAGATTGGAATTTGTAAATCTGTAACTTAACTGTAGATCATACAACAAATCTGTACTAGATGTAAGATACTTTCCTTTCTCATTTTAAAATTCGTTTAAAAATAACTGTCTAAAGCAAAAACACCAGCCTGTTGGGTTTCTAATATATAAATAAATAAAATGCTTACAAATGATAACACAGTGGAAGGAGAACTAGGGTGCTCTAGTGCAGCTTTCTTAAAATATGTGAGAAGTGGCAAGATGTTCCCTGGAGACTGACTCAGAGAAAAGGAGTACACTGCAAATGATAGAGCAACCATTAAGTAAAAAATAAAGAAATTCTATCAAACCAACAAAAATCCCAACATGTTTGTAATTAAACACACTTCGAGATAACTGCAACCCATGAATCAAAAAAGACATCCTAAATGACATGGAAAACACACATTAAATGTGCAGGAAGGAGCCGAAGCAATGTCTAGAAGGAAATTCTTAGCTTTGAATGCTTACGTTACAAAGATCTAAAAGAAACTGAACTTCTACTTTAAGAAAATAAAAAAAGCAAATTAAACCCAAAGTGGAAGGAAAGAAAAATAAAAGTATATTACTGAAAAACAAAAATGTTTAAATAGGACAAAGAAAAAAATCAGTGACCCTAAAGTCCATAAAATAGAAAAGACTATACACAGAAATACCTGAACATGAAAGGCTGTTTCTGTTTGAGATTCAATAATGCAAATTTTAAGTTACCTGAGACCTTTTCTACCTTCTTTCAAGAATACTTTCAAAATTGCTGACAGGTAGTAGGGAAATTATTTCCCTAACATCAAACCAGAACCATCTTTTAAAGATTCAAATACAAAAGGGACTTTAGTCATCTAATGCAATCCCAGTCATCCAATAAGAATACTCAAGTCAGTGAAATCCTGGGAAATTATTTTTTAAAAATATAAGGAAATATATAATAAAGAAAATCTCTCTTTACTTGCCACTCCAAAAGAAAACAGATTTCCTTTTTCTCTAACACAAAAGGAAAATGTATCCTGCACATTTTCTGTGTTTTATGCAGCCATCAGTGATATGAAGACAAAACATCTTTTCCAGGATATTCTATGGAAGTTAATTTGGATGCATGCGTTGAAAGAACACCCAAAGACATCACACTATTATCAAAACACACATTTCATTTACCTTCAGCAAGATATGAAATTCTAGTTATTTCAAATAATCTGCCATGTTCATATTATCTTTAACAGCTTCTAAGAAAAGACAATTATATAGCTTTATAACAAAATAGGAAGAAAATGAAAAAAGAAAAACTTCTTGAATAAGAATAATGAATGAAGACTACTTAACAAGGGAGGTAACAAGAACTTATTATTCAAACTCAAAAGTTTTGGGGGCTGTGAGTGTAGCTCCATGGCAAAGTGCTTGCTTAGCATGGGTAAGGTGCTGCGTTACATCTCTAGCAGCTCAAAATACACCCACACCCACGGTGACAGTTTTCAAAACAAAGGGCAAAGGTTCCAATCTAAACTAAATTAATGATATTTCTTTTTTGTAACCGACATAATCATCCACATCAAATACTGGAAAACCTTTTCAAGCATAAGAGCAATCATTTACTTAAAAATACCCACAGAATGAAAATTTATCTGAAAACAACAGGTTCAGGATCAACAGGCTGCTTCAGAGCATACTCTAAAGCCATTCTACACACTCTAACAAAATTGCCTCATGTACAACTGTCAAGCAAGCAGATGATTCTGTGGCAGCAAAATTCCCAGGTGTTTCTAAGATTCTTCTCTCTTTCCAATAATTGCCAGGGTTGTGAAATGATGAGAGAGCCCTCCTGTGATCAGGCTGTGTTATGTGACACAGCTGAAGAGGATATTATCGTCTTGGGGCTTGCCTAATCAGAACAGCAGTGAACCATTTGTTCTGAGAATGAGTCAAAATAATGAGCAGGTCTCAGGCCACATCAGCTCTCTTTCTTCAGGGAAGCAATTGATACAATCACCCAAGAACTAGGAACCACTGGAGGTGTGAAGGTAACTACAAAGGACAGTTCAAGTTTAGTTGGTGAGTGCCTTCTTTAGCCAAGCACTGTCCTCAGGATGTCACACAGGTGAACGGACTCTGTCATACAGTAAGCAAACAAGTCTGCTCCGCTGAGATTGTCCACCTACCTGGTTATGGTGGAGGGTGAGACTCAAACCCAGTCTGGCTGCAGTCTGTGCACTTAACCGGTCAAGAACTTTCCAAGGTGAGAGTCTAATGTGAGTTCAAGGGAAAAGGCCAACTTCATCATTCGAAAAATAAGGAAATGGAGAAATGAGTGACTGAGGAAGAAAGTGGACAAAGGAATGTGGCCAAGAGCCCTGAGTTGGGGACATCTGGTCAAAACCCAGCTCCTCCGCTCCAGGCTGTGTAGCCTGTCTCTGCCTTCCCCTCTGTCCAATCCCACTGCGGTGAGGATAAAAGCCTAGCACATGGCACACACTCAACACACACCAGCCATCACGATCGCCCAGGTGAGGGAGGCCCGTAGCAGCGGTCACAGAACCACACTCAACCCCCAGGTCAGCACCGAGCCACCCGCAGGTCCGCAGGGAGAAGGGAATGATGACGGGACAGTGGGGTCACCCCCAACTGTTCCAGTGGCGTCCTCAGTTTACCCTACGTGACGCTCACTCCTCAGGGAATGCTGTGAGGACTTGTTCCCTCTTTACAGAGAGGCTCCCCCAGGTCCTCCACACGAGCCCCATCCCGCCACCCTGCCTCCCAGCGGGAAGGGACGCCAGCGAGCAGAAACTCCCAGAAGCACCTCGGACCCAGGCCAGAGAAAGCCCGCGCGACAACGGGACTGCTCGGCCAGGGACGCCCGGAGCCGGGTCGGGCGGTGCAGACTGGAAGAGGGCGGCCCGGGCCGGTTCCCAATCCCCGCGCCCGAGACATCCCGTTGTCTAACACAGCCCGCGGCGGTCCCGCTCACC